GTATGCTCGATCGAGTCCGCTATCGAGTTCTGCTGCCGTCTTGGCCCAAGACTAACGGTACCGGGTAATAATCGCGTTGCCGTAGTGAATTTACTGTTGTCCCGTTAGGGCCTACTTTCTTGAACACATTAGGGCAAAAAAGGGTCTCGGGGAGGACCCTGGACCCTCCCCTGTATCCGCTATCCTTTTTTATAGCTCCATGCTACATGTACATGTAGGCCCTATGTGGTCACTTTTATGGTTTGTAGGTCCTGCGAGTTCTTTGGTTATGCTTAAAACGAGATTAAACGCCGGGACGAACTGACATAACTCTCTGGTCACTAATCTGTGCGCCTGCTGATACGAGTGTTGGCTCGTAACCATACCGTGGTCGAACCTTGTTCTGGTACATAACGGTTTGTAATCGACAAGAAATGGAGAGTTGTGTACATGATCATTTGGTCCATTGTTGTATGTACACGTCTTAGTTTTAAGTGACAAAAACTTATTTATATGTATTTTGTTATCCATGGTATACCTACCCACACGTCACTCTTTTAGGTGAACCCATACGTGTAGCCAATGCTGAGCGCCGCGAATACCTCCCTGTAAGTACCCACTGCATACGTTTAAGCAGGGTCCCGTTGACGGTGACGGTGTCATCGTGTATATTGCGCAGCTTTGACTTTGTAACCAGCAAAATGAATTCAGTTTTTTCAAAATTAAGACTCAATCTATTTTGATTGAGCCATTCCACTGCACGAGTCATATCTTCGTTGATTTTATCTATGAGATCCGACTCATCTTCGCTGTCATATACAAAGCAGCATACATACTGACCTCACAATAAGCTACATGCAACGGGAGGTCATTAATGTAAATAATGAACATAAGCGGGCCGACAATGGATCCTTGTGGTATTCCACAACTTACTGCGTGAAAGCTCGAGCTCTTCCCGTTAATTGTGGTATAACGAGAACGACCCTTTAAAGGAACTTCGAAACCAGTTAATCCCATTGTTGTCAACACGGTAATGCTTTGTCTTTTCCTACCTCCATGGTCAAATTATTTGCTATTAGAGCACGTGGACTGGGTCGTTTGTTAAAAAAGGTGGATGAAATGCATGTGCAGGACTGACTAACTGGGCCCTCCAAATTGCTCTATTTTGCCTTGGAGTGTAGGCATCAATTTCCAAAATGGCGATGGGCCTCCTGACCATTTTGAGGGGTGATTTTCTCTGGAGAGAAACATCTTCAGAAGTCGTCAGTTAAGCCCACTGAAACGTGAAAGGAAAATGAACGACGAGGAAGTGATTTTTAATTTGATATGTGTCTTGAACACCTGTGAAGCTTGTATTTTTCCTGATTTTTTAAGTGGGGATATTTATCATTGTTGTCTATGGCAAATGATTTACTGGTCTGGACCCATATGCACCAACTTATGGTGTTCTATTCAGTCCACATTACACTGCACAATGAGAGTCGTCTCACTGCGCGATGAGAGTTGTTTGGCAGCGCAGTGAGTGTTGTTCAACGTGGCATGTAAGTGTTGTTGAGGTTGCACTACACTGATACGGACCCACAGGTAACAGCACAAAATCCAAAGAAAATGCACCGCCTAGTGCCGCCCAGGAAGATTATGGCCTCATAGTTTTACTGGAAATTCAAAATTATGACCTCTGGAACATTTTCTTTTCAATTTCACGATTTTTTTGGTTGGGATTTTTTGTATAGAGAGAGAAAGAATTCAAATATAACATTTAAAGACCTGGGCAGGCGGTGATATGAACATAAAAATTAACTTTAACTAGTTTTCAATGCACTTTTGAGATTGAGACTTACGGAAACGCTAGGTCAATTTCAGTAGGGGAGATATGCCGATTATGCGCAACTATATTACCAGCCTGCTCGCTCTAAACGGGGCGACCTCAGTCTCAGCCTTTCAGTTTAGGGACCGGTGCGGCCCAAACCACCGGACCTAACCGACTGGAAAAAGTCTACCGCGGTCAGCGCTTCCTAGAAAAAAAATGATGATCAAAACGTCTAGCAACTGTCACAAACAACCAGACCGTCGATGGACTTAAAACTCACAACTGCTTGTTGTCTCTATTGTTTAGATCGTCGTAGACACTAGGCAACGTGTGAACACGGAAAATGTAAATGTACTGTTATTACTGCAGGCCGTGCACACAGATTACCACGAATAGAAATAATAAACACAATTGTAAAAAACTCTGTCTTGTGAACACAATCGGTACAAATCAAATCAGCTTGTAGAATTTGCATACATAGACTTAGTGAGCACAGTAAAAATCAAATATTGCTGCAATGAGTGTAGACAAAGCTGGGGAATAGAAATTAAGAACTGCCCATTAAAAAAAACCACCGCTTTTACTACAGGAAGCGGTGGTTTTTTATGACATAAATATTATTTTTATAATATGAATGAATATGAAATAAAGAATGTTACGACCCATGTTTTGACCATTAGCGAAAAACTACGCCAACTGGCGTAAAGCTGTTTTAAAAGACCACGTTGATCAGTACTGTATCATCCTGTTAGACAAACCCAAACTCACACGACGAAGTTGTATCAACACTAAACGTACAAACCAACGTCAATTTAAAAACGTAACGCTCAAGAACTACTACAATTTACAACAAAATTGCTCGAGACAATCAATTGCGAGTCGTACCCTAGGGTAAAAAAGGCCGCTTGCTTAGGAAAGACTATATCGATGCGATCAAAGCGTACGTGTTGCAAGAGTTGTTTAAAGAAACTGACTTAAAGGAAATCGGGAGGTTTAAAGGCAACTTTAGAAATTGGGAATTCGTATCTCGATTGTTCAACACAGATCAGATCAGTGTGATTTTTTTTCAATCTCACGCACAAATGACTGAAGCCAATATAATGCCTCAGTTGAGACAACTGACAAGTTTCAAACCCCAGTTAAGACATTTCCTATTCTGCACTCACACAAAACTTTCTTTTTTCAATTGAATGATGCTCCGTTCCGAACTATTCTCGTTGTAAATCATTCCTAATGTTCATTAATATTTCTTCTTTCATTAAAGGTCAACATGTATTTCAAAGATATCTAAATTCTTGCAAACGCCATTGAGAGACCAATTTTGTGCCTAGATATATCGATTGGCCATTAGAGGAAACGCCTTCAAATGTTACTTTGAGAAATTTCTTGTTCCGTTTATCTGCAATATATTTTCTTTCTACAAACGATTTGAAAAGAAGGCTAATGTGATGCAAAACGAGCAAAAAAGGTCACCACCTCGCAATAGGGCCTACAATGCGTACATTTTAGATGCAAAACGCAGCAAATGTGTGTGCCCTAAGTCTGCATGTCATGGCAAAATGCCTGGCAGAAAGCTCTTCCGACTGCAAAACTTTAAAAGGGTTGTAATATAAGTTCCGACAAAAATATCGACAAACAGTTTGTATCACTGAACTTTTCTGGATTCAAGCTTTAACGTGATGTACAATTTGATACATTAAAATTATTTGTGGGTGATTTAACAAATATATAGTCGTGAAAAGAAGAAAATAGGCTTTTGCGTGGTACCAAAAACGTGCAGAGTGGAAAATGGCAAGGAAAGTGCAATAATTCATTTTACCACGTCCACGGTCAAATGCATTATACGTGGCTTTCTTTGACACATTGTCTTGTCTATTGCTAGCCTAGGAAATGTCTCTGTCGGGTCTTTGCTACATTATACGTCGTCAAATTGGCATCCTGCCAATATGTCCCGGGGCTTTGTGTGAATGGACGTTGCTAGGTTCATTAGCTGTTTCGGCTAAAATTTCTAATTAAATATTCCTACACAGCAAGAACAACAGGGAAAATCTCCACATTTTTTGTTTTGGTCAAAACTGTTCTTTGGTTAAGTTCAAGTTTGCATGATTTCGGCAGGGGTCTAAATTTGAAATCCATAAAATATAAACATTTTGTAGGCTGCAAAAGTTTATTCTTGCATGACTGTCATCGTTTACACCACCTCTTTAGAGATAGTAAGCTCTGAAACCTTTGAGAAAGGTATGTCAGTTTTACTCTATATAACTGAAGTAAATGTGAATGAAACTTAAGCAACAGACACATGTACTAAGTACTTTGTATAAATTCTTCCTAAACTCTCCATCAGAGAGATCAATATAAGGAGGCCTTCAGGAGAGTGGAAAAACTACTTTAGGTACAAATACAAGAGTGGAAAAATTACTTTATTTACCAGTATATTTCAAACAATCATAACTCCACTGCAATACCGTAAGATATGTGTAATTTATGCACAAATTAACTTCTGAGTAGTTCTTTCCAACGATACCAGACTTGTGGTTGTAGCTGGAGACAATGTAAAACCCACCTTGCCATATTATGACCATCTTTTTAAACTGTGAATAGTATACACATATGGACTAGCAATGAGGTCACTAGTGCACGTCTATCCCCAAAATTACACTGTGTCAAGGGACACTAAAATGAACCCTCAATGTTTTTTTTGTTTTTGAAGTGCTATTGAAAATTTAATTAAAACAGTTAAAACCCCGAAAGGATATTTTTCTAGTTTGAGGTGTCACATATGGACTGGCAAAATTTGGTCACTAATGCACGGCCATTCCCCTCGGGCCTGTGAGTGACCAAAAGAGAGTCCTACCTCTTCTGGTCAGTCACAGTCCCTCCGGGACATAGACGTGCACTAGTGACCTCATTGCCAGTCCATGATGTATAATAGCTCCCCATGGTAGCACGGAAGTTGATAAATAAATTGGCTCCCCAAGCTAAGCCGTTCTTCTCAAGAACAAATTTGTCGACATCTAATAACAAGGGATTTAATATTAACTTTTTAACCATTTCAAATAAATGTTACATTTGTTTTCCCATACCCTGCAATGTACACATGACATCATCAAGTACAAGGTAATACTTATTAACATTTGATACCATCTTCTTGCGTGTAGCTACAATGACATGCACACTAACCACTGTGTGACAGTTCCACAGTTGCTTTGTAAATCACCCAGATGAGTCTTTTTACCTGTTTGCCGAGTGCACCTTGCAAACAGCAAAAAATAGTAACTGACACATGATAGTGAATAAGACAGTGAGAATCCAGCCTGCAATCATGACTATGTGTAAGGCATGGTATGATGGTAATTTGCAAATTGCACCAGTTCCCTAACAAATTCTGGGTCTGGATGAAATATCATCACAAAAACTCAAAAGTATTAATTCTAGGTTATCTCTGCTCCAGATAGTTTTGTTCTTGTTTGGGGTATAACTGTTCTGAAGTCTCCAGTAAGAGCTTTGTCATCGAATTCAGTGAACTATAACAAGGTGGAAAAGTTTAAAAATAAAATTGCAATTGCACTTTAAGTTACAGTGAGTAGCAAGGGCTTACAACCAGAGCTACAGGTTCTTCTGGGAAAAATTCATCTATCAAATTGTAATATTTGATTTAAGTGAAAACCTTACCTATTTGAACTATCGGGCTTCAATAAAAGATTGGAAGGATATTTCTCAGGGGCTGTCCATAAGTATGTTTGCACGAGGGGGGGGTGCCATTAGGCCTACGTACACTGTGCGTACAGAAGGGGAGGGGCTCAAGCTAGTGCATACCTTACGCAAACCAAAAATTTTGCCTTTAATGACTTTTCATCATCTCAATACCTTCTCAAACAAATACATGTCATGATCTACTTTTGTATGTCAAAAAACACTCAAGCGGTATCCTCCACTGTCCACCACCCCATTATTTATCCTACCTGCAAATGCCATGCCCATTATTAGTAAACTACAACATTACTCATGACAAAAAGACCAGCAAAGTCTTCTGGAATGCGTATGTGTACAGGGGAGGGGGTTAGGTCACTGTGGATGCCATGCATACAGTAGGGGGAGGGGGGTCTGAAAAGTCGGCATTATGGACGACCCCTTGTTGAAAATTTCCCACAGCTCTCAATATCTGCCCTAAGCAGAAGCACCCCCTCATCAGTTGAAAAGAGCCATATTGGTCGGGAGTGTTCCTTTTGTTGGTTGCGATGCAATTGGTTATGTTTCATAGTCATTTGTGAACCAGTGATGTGCACTTACTACCATACAAGTACCAAAGGAGCCTCTGTTGCTAGGAATATTGGGCCCTTTCTTGGTCCAGCTCAGGGGACATTAAAACATTTCAGTTTTCTGTGACAGAAAATAAGTCAACATTGGTACTTCAGTAAAGTTACATCTTTCTGATGCTTGTGTATAATCGACCATTCCTAGATATATGTCTCTTTAAGCAAAATGAATGTTACTGATATTTGCTAAGACTCTTTTACTTCGTTTCAAAGCATTCAATTATTCAGTATAATATCTTCAAGGGAAGAAATAGCACAAGACTCCCTAAAATAAACTGCTTAAAAACACACTGCACCATTCCTGATTAGAATACAAGAAATTTAACCTGCTAATATTCAAAAATACATTTAATTAATGTCACAATTTGGTATGTACATGTATCAACAAATATCTTGGAGTAGAGCTTCCTTCCTGTAAGTTTCCTTACTGGTACCTATTGGCAAGAGTTCTATCAAACATGAAATAAACGACCTGCAAATAACCTAACTTTGATGCAGCACAAAATACAGAATTTCCTGTTAGAATTCAAGATAAGTAACGAATGTCATTCAGTGACATGGCAAAATTCATGCATCTTAATACGGTTTGGTTAAGTCCCCCAAATCAGATTTTCCTGACAGCAGCCTGGATCAAATGAAAGGTGGATACATCATACCATAGTTTGATAATCAGTGATGAATTGATGGGTCTTTCTCCACCTTCTCATTCCACTTTATGTAGATGCCATAATCGAGGCTTGCATTCATGAACCTGTGAAATGGTGATAAATATCAAACACGGTAAATTGAATTCAAGAACTACCACAAAAGCTTGGAATTAAGGTGCACAGTATAAAAGAAGTTAAGGGGGATGAAGATGAACTACCTTGCAAATCCATGAAAGAAATGTCCTATGAATGGTGTGTATGTCCAATTGCCTCTCCTAATCAAAGTCTTACAACTTAGTTTTAAATGCTCACCCTTGCATAAATGCCATGACAGAGGTTTGCAAAGGAGGTTCATGTTGACTGAGATCCAGACTGCTTTGAGCAAATTGGGATAAATAGGCAAAGCTCCAAAAACAACCTCCAGCCACGGTTAGAATGACAACAGAAATGTCCCATTCAAATACACCTATTGTTACGTTACCAGTCCCTCTCCACAGAAGGTAGGTTTGCTTTCTACTGAACAGACTTATTCCCACCCTTACAGAAGATGACATCCAAGAAAGTTGGGGTTGAATCAGAGCCAGTAAAGGTGCCATGCATGGCCGTGGGCATGTATATGCTTAGACAATCGAGGATAGAACTTCAACCTGCACGCATTACATTATTCATAGCAACTTCAATGTTTTTATATCTGTTGCAATTGGGCCATCTCAGACACAGCTCACTCACTGATCAAGTTTCAGACAGGCATTCCAGAGTCACGCTGAACTGATTTATAGGCATGATTTGAATTAAGTTGGACGTCTGAAACAATTGGGTGCAACCAAGGGCAACAGCCCAGCAGGCAAAAGCTTAATATTTGGAGTAGTTCAGAATGACTCAGGCAACTTGGTTTCACCTAAATGCTCTTGTATGAGCTGAATTCAATGCAGATGTAAATGTATGTAATTAAATAGTGACATGACATTCCATACTCTAACAATAAAAGCTAAATTGAGTGTATGCATGCATTTATCCTGAACTAAATTTATACTTGGCCCATGAGTTATCCATCAATACATATGTAACAACCTCAACTCCTTAACTTGACGTAAGATGTTTTTGGTAGCGCTGAATTTTGAGTCTCAGTATTACCGAACTCGCAGAAGCAATCGTCCTGGCCCAAGTCAGACTTAAAAGAAGTCTTTGTTGACAAACAGAAGTTGGTTAAGAATACGAGTTTCTCTTATTCTCAAAGCTTTGCCTCATGCAAAGCTCCTTATAGTCAAACAGAGAGTTGGTGAGGAAAATCCTCCTCTTTGCTAACAAGTATTTCACCGCAGCAAAATACTTCACAAATCAAGTATTTTCTCAACATGAAAACACTTCACAGGCTCAAAGCATCAAAGCTGGTCTCATTAGACTTTAGCTCTCTGCTCGCAAAGTTCCAACTCGATTTCTCAACACTTTTTCAGGGATTTTATACTCTACAAATCTACTATATTAACATAGTTACTGAATATAAGTCACAAGTAAATTATGCAGTAAGGTTACATCACCCTGCTCTAAATTGATGACTAATTCCATTGACTTATAAGAATAAAACCAAATGATGTAAACCCATGACTTATATCAATTTCTTAATAAAGTTCCACCCTTTCATTACAAAGTAATATTACTCCATGAAACAAGGAAAGTTGTGGGTGCACTGGCCTCCGCCTCCCCCTTCCAAGTAGCTAACCAAGTTTTATCAATGGGTCAACTGGCCTTGGTGAACATCTGGTGTTTAACTCATTGACCACTTTACTTTTCTGGAAACCTGTTCACAAAATCTCAACATTGTTACAACATAATTATAGGGTCATGCTCTTTTGACATCACAAGTTATGTTCTTCCTACAAGTAGCTGCTAAAAATATGGCTGAGCATCAGTACAAGAGTAAAAGAATAATTCACGTGTTAAAATCCTATGCAGCTATTAGAACACTGGATAATAACACAAGTATTACACAGTAGATCCCTGTTACAGCGCTCAAAAGGAGACCTATCGGAATTGAGCGGTATAACCACACAGCGCTATAACCGACTGGATGGACGCGCAACAGGTGCGTCAAACATGGGCACAAGTACATGTACTTTTATGTACTGTACATATATACATGTATATGTCTCTACATGTATATGTCATGTATTTGAATTATGTTTACATGTATCGCTAGTTGCATGTACCGTAATTTTCGGATATACATGCAAGATGGTGCTCCCAGTTATCTCAAAGTTTTTGGTGATGCCAATCAAAAAAAAAAAACAAATCTGTTCAAAAACTGCCATGGGGCCTCTTGCATGCTGGATAGCGGCACACACCTGCATCTGCACCCACATCCTGACTGCTACGGCATTCCCGATTCGTGGACAGTCCAATCGCTGAATTTTTTTCAATAACCTTGTGACCACAGAAAGTGATATGTCATCAGAAAACTAAAGTGAGAACAGACCCCGACATGTCACACCAAATGCAATCAGCGAAAAGACAAGGTTTGCTATATGAAACACATGTACCATTTGAGTGGCTGATTTTTATTTATCGGTAGAAAGAAACCTTTAGGTAACAAAATACAAGCATCTCAATATTTATTATTTGTGTGCCAAGGTCACGAGAATAAATAAAGAGGAGAAAAATAATCACTACAATGTCACTACAGCAGAGCTTGTTGTACATGTAGTCCGAGTAACTCGGACCCTAAACATTTGTAACATTTGGACATGGTCGGGCAATAGTAGGGTCCAAGTACCTTCCACAGGGTTTTGCTTCCATTAATTTATTTCACTCAAATAGCTCGTTCCTCGAATCAAAGTCCTCCAGCAAATCTGCAAGATCAGCTGCACTCAGAGGAAATCTTGACATTGAGCGCATTTGTACGGAAGCAGACATGACGAAACACCAAGCAGAGCTGGAGGCAGCACAAAAGAGGGCCAAATTAGAAGCGGCTTTGAAGATGGCTGAAGTTGAAGCAACTTTAGCAAAGACTGAATATAGAAGAATGCCATTAAAAGGTCTTCGAACTTCAAAGGGGAGGCCTTGACAATGCGGTGGAAGATGACGACAGAGGATCTAGTGATGACTCAAGAAAACACAACTTCTCTGATGAGGATTCGGCTTGTACTGATGACCTTGACTCAGAGTTACAGCTGCAACCAGGAGCAACTGAAGCCTTCACCAGCTACGGATGAACCACCGCACAAGGGTGAACAAGGCCAGAAATGTGAAGAACCCAGGCTTAACGGTCAGCTCCAAGAGTTGACTTGCAAGCAGAAAATGGTTGAATGACAGTCCGTTCATCAGGTCCCATTAGACAGACAGTTTGAGTCGTATCCAGATTGTTGGGTTTGCAAGCACCAGGATCAATTATTTCAGCAGGGAACCACAGATCAAAATGTCACAAAAGTCATTCGAGAAAACTGAGTTCAGTGGTGAACACGGTCATTAGCAGGAGGTGAGTGGATCTGCAGGGGAAGGAAAGCTTTCCTTGGATTTGCAGTTGAAGAGAGAAGCTCATCCAACATTCGTCCAATGGGAAAGGCTTGTGGACAAGTGGGCCATAAAGCCAGCAGCGCAGAGAGCGGTGCAGGAAGATGGTGATGGCTATAAGTAGTTTGTCTAAGCAATAGCCCTTCACCCCCAAAGCTTGATGGCAACTAAATAAATCACCCTCCTGAAGACGAACAGAGCATACTGTCAAGTCATACTGTCAAGTGTTCACCATCGGTTCTTCTCAGAACCACACACTTATAAAAGAGATATTTTCTTGTACATGGCCCAACCGCAAGCCTAACCTAATTTAGTACTTCCACCATGCATAGCTTCAAGTCTTATCTATCCACGCTCTATGGGGACCTCATCATGAGTGAAGTTAGGAGATTGAACGTAGTTCGCCATCAGATGTTCAAAACTTATCAACAACCTGACTTTCCTGAAACGTTGCCGTGACTCAAACATCATCTCGAAGGGACTTCACCTCAAGGATCCCATCAGAAACTGCCAGTCCAGCCACATACTCCAAGATTCCAGCTGGTCTCTACTGTGACTCCAAATCTCAAGAACAAGACCCAAGCTAGCATCACTGGACAAGCAGATCAACAAGTCTCAGTAGACTCTTCAAGATACAGGCCAGCCAAGAGATTTCTCCAAGATTCAAGCCCTCACCCAGTCACTGGCACAATGCAGATCAAGAAATAATTTGCCAAGCTGTGCCCCAAACACCTTGATCAGAATAGGCAATCCCCTATATCTCCTTTTCCACCTCAACAAGGCCGGGCCCAGCAGCTTTGATCCCAGCAAGCATTCATCAAGAAGACAGTAGTGAACCTCAAACAGCGACAACTCAGAGCACTGGAAACCAAGGTTCTGTCCTTAGGCATGAACTTTGCTGTCCCACCGAAAACTATCCCAGTTGAGGACATCATCCAGTCTACAGAACCAGTGCTACAACACCTGAGCAAGACAGCAGCAGAGGACGTCCGCATCTAGATCTATCAAACCATCAAACAAGGCAAGCTGCCCAAGACCAACTTCTCAACACAAGAATTCACAGTGCTCAAGAACCTATGTCAAGACGAGTCCATCCACATCTTGCCTGCAGACAAAAGTAATGCAACAGCAGTCATGGATAACGCCAACTATGTCAGTGAGGTCACTGACTTCCTCTCCACCCCTACTTACCACCCCTGCAGAAAGACCCAACTCCATTTGTTGAACGGAAGATCGCCAGCAAGTTGTTGGCACTCCAACGCTCCAATACCATCTCCTACCAGCTGTACAGACAGCTCAGACCGTCCAGCTGCACCTGCCCCAGGTTCTTTGATCAGTCGTTCCTGGATCACCTCAACGACCTGCATCCCAACATCAAGTTCACCATGGAACAGGAGGGGAGGAATTCCATTCCTTTCCTGGATGTCAAGGTCTCCTGCTGCCCAGATAGATCCCTGGGACATGCCGTCTACTGCAAGCTGATCCACACAGACCAGTACCTGAACAGTGCATCATTCTGGAGGAGTCCTATTGGTGTCAAGGCCGGTATTATGTTCCTATGTCTTTGAAGGACTCCTACAAGACCCTTCCCAACAAT